GAACGGTCGCATGGAATAATATTTCTATACGGTATACACGGCAGCAGTTTTCAAAGCACGAGTTGAACTCCAATCTCCCTTGAGTTTGATGCATTTTCTTCTTCTTTTCACCTTCTTTCAAGTTTAAACCATAAAAAGACAAAAACATTATATGAACATAGACTTCAGACCGAGAATTCTAACGTGCATGTTGCATGTAGTCTCGAGTCATAACATCATTAAGTCAATAAAAAATATATTATATAGCTTGGATTGCTGTGTAATATTTATTATTAGATAAAATCATTTATTATTAAGTATTATTTCTTATTCAATGACTTATATTTTATAATTGAAAAAGGATTTGTACACATTTGATTCAATATTTTTTTATTCAGTCATTAAAAATATAATAAATATACAATCAATTTAATCAGTTTCTGCATCTTATGTGCATAATTATATTTTTAAACTTATTTATCTTTAATTTCAGATCAAAAAATAACAATTTTTTAACAAATATGTTGTGTAACATGTTGAATAAGAGTATGTATTAATTAGTGTCTTTTATAATTTAATACAATTCAAATTTCAATTATTAGTAATATAATTTTACTTGCTCTTAATATCAATTTTTATTTATTTTGAGGTTAATCCTTTTATAGTAATGTAAAGAGCCAGGCTACGTTAGCCTGACGCGTTTTAGAAAAATAAATTTGTTCTGATGTTGCTTTCAGTGCTCAAGAAAAACGATGCAACCACTGCGTTGATTTAATTTTATTACATTATAAAATCAGACAACCGCAAAGCAACTAAAGAATCGGGTTGGAAAAGTGTGGTTCACAAATCGCAAAGCAACTAAAGAATTGGATTGGAAAAGTTTGATTCACAATCGCAAGAGCAAGGAAGGATCGGAGAAGGCAAAATTTGTTGGAAAAGGTCTTCCATGAATTGAATAGAGCAGAGATTTCGGTTTTAGGCAATAAAAGTTAAATAGCATAAAGGCCGACGGATGACCAGTATATGGCGTGTCTGCAGGTTTAATTTTCCTTGCGAGTTGTACCCAAAAAATAATAACAATAATAAAAAATAAATAAATAAAGGTAAAAGTGGTGTATAAGGTCCCAAATTTATATAAAATTCATAGTTAAGGTCTTAAACTTTTATTGCACTCAAGTAAGGTCTTAAACTCTCCCCAATTCTCAAATAAGGTCCAATTGGATGGAAAGTGAAAACAATTTGTACCATTAAATTGTTTTATTAACACCATTAGTTTAACTTTTTAAATATCTAAAATAATCCTTAAATTTTACTTCAATTTAGTTTTTAATTTTTAATAGTCATAAAACAGTTTTTAAACTTAATTTCTCAATTGATGTGGCAATTGGAGTGGGACTCACAACTTAACTAAATTTTAATTTTTAACTTTATG